CATACTGATAAGTTAATAATATTCTTAGTATTTTTATCATATAGTCTAAAAGCCTACTAGTAAATGTTGAAAGTGCCAATATTTATTAGATATCCTTTTAAAATTAATTCTTTTTTCAGTTAATTATTGGCTTAGTTTAATAAACCAATAACTCTTTTATATTGTAATTAAATTATTGGTTAAAGCTTTGTGTGTTAAAATAATATCATAATCTTGAGCAGTAGTTAGCTTTCTATTCAAATAAGGTTTACTCAAATAAAACCAACAATTTGAGTAAAAAATGACTCAAATAAAATGAATAATAATGACTCAAATAAAATGAATAAAACGAATAATACGAATAAACGAATAAAACGAATTAAACGAATAAAACGAATTAAACGAATTAAACGAATTAAACGAATTAAACGAATTAAACGAATTAAACGTACAGTCAGAGCTCGTTAAGACAATGCTTTGATAAACCGATGTTGTTTTATTATTTACCTATCAAATTACCTCAATAAGCCGATTTTATTAAATCGAAGTTTTTTTTTTTTGAAAATATTGACTTCAGTTTAACAAATAAACACGAGGAAAAGAAGATCAGGACAAAAGATTTTTTTTTTTTAACAATTGAAATTCATAAATAACTTTGATTCACATGAGGGTTCTTCTTTGTAAAGGATCTTTTGTTAAATTATTAAATTTGTGATAATTTTCCTTTGTATGTGTAATTTTTTTTAATAAATTTTTCTCAACGCGAATGTTGATACCTCGAACAAATATATAGATAGAATGTACCATGTAAAGCCAAATAGTACATAGAACGTCATTTTGGCACTATGTGTCTCAACTCTCGAATTCGAATGCAACGTAAAAAGCAAAACCAATGCACTGTTTTTTTGATCCACAAGTGGGGGATAGTGGGTCTATTTATATTTTTTTGTTGTAATTTATTAAACTACACGATCAATGCACCGTCTGGCCATGAGAGTCTATTTTTATTTCATTGACCATGAATAAATAATAGGATGTCTAATTTTGATGCTCTGAACGAATATATATGTAAGTGATTGAGCCATGTGACTTTATAATATTATGACATCAAAAAATATCATCTTACTATAATATTAATCTATATTTCACGAAAAACACTGTTACGTTTTCGTTTAAAAACTTTGTTTTTCTTTGCAGAGAACTGAATGATATATGGGATGCGCTCTAGGAGAACCAGGTTTCGAGTAATATTAATATATAAAAAATTATTTTTTGTGTATATAAACAATTAAATTTGTTACACATTTTACGATTTCCGTGCAATATTAATATACGAAATATGTATTCATCTTTAAAAATTTAATTGATGATTTATTTACATTAATTTTATGATTATTGGGCATACAAAATTCATCTGTGATGCAAATTTTGGGTATATTAAGAGTAAATACAAAAATAGAATTATAAATATAGTTGATGATGTCGAAAAGGTGATAAATGATTTAGCAGAATGTAATAAGCCTGTTAGAAATAGCAATGGCTTGAATTGGAGCTGGTATAATTTTACATTATTATTTGAAGGGCATTTCCGAAGTCTTCCAAATATAACAAAATATTATCATTTTCATTTCAGTAGTTTACCAAATGATATTGGAAAAGTTTATGTTTCCAAAAAATCAGGTGGCACAGAAACTTCTTTTAAACTTTTAAAAAATGACGATTTTGATAAAAATAATCAATTGACCCTACTTGGGGTTGCTCCATTAACAAAAGATAGAAAAATTTATTGGTATAACAAAATTCATCAGCATGTAGACCCAAAATTTAGAGGTATACTTTGCCCCAATCCTAATTAACTTTACATAATAATTTTTAAAACAATCAAATACTTTATTAGATACTCAAAATGGTAGATTAATACTAATGACAACCGTAATAAAAATTATGAATTAGTAACACTCTATGGGGTCTCCGTAACTATTAAATTTATCAGTATGTAGATCATTGCTTTTTTTAAATTTTGGTTATCCCCAAGAATTTATTTTTACACAAATTATAGTCATGATGTTATAGTTTAATATTATGCAAAAAAATTTTTTGACCAAAAGTCTCGAAACCCGGTTTTCCTAGAGCGCCCCCATATAACAAACAATTTTTTTTTTTTTATGGTTTATTTGATTGCCTTAAGTTTTTCTCTAATTGATAATGATGTAAATTGAAAAGCAAAAATTGCATTATTTAAAGAACAACTTTATCATCACCAAACTCTAGTGACCGATTTATCGTGATTCAACAATAAAAGAATTTTAGTAATAAAACTGGAAAACAAAATTAAAACTTATAAAAATATGTACCAAAACCTGTCTTATGTGTTATGTAAAGATCATTATAAGTACCAATATTAATCAACATATGTTGCTTCAAACTGGGACGCTATAGCACATTATTAATACTATTGCGTATTACTATTACATGTGATTAATTCAAAAAAAAAATCAATTTAACACAAACCATATGTATGAAAAACGATTTGATTATAGGAAATGTAATAATAAAATAATAGTTATAATTCGTAAAAAAGAAGAGGCATTTTTATAAATATACGGAAAAACAAATAGTTTAATTCTTCCATGATAATTATTTTTCTTGCATCATTGCAGTATACATACAATAATATAATAATTCTTTATTCATCCCTGGAACACACATTTTTAAACTTTTGATAATTCTATTTTATCATTGTCATTATTGCCGCTTGTATCAAGTATTTTTAATTACGTCAAGTGTTTTATTTACGTCAAGGGCTTTTGCTTTAATCAAATAATCAAAATGGTCCTGGTGAGAAACTACCTTTAGTCAATACTTTAGTTTTCGTCATACACCATTAGATATTTTTGTAAATAAACACACACAAAATACTTTGATCGTTCGTTTCCTTTTAGATCAGTTGTGAAAAAATGTGTAACACTGGCGTATATTGATTGATGTATGTTTACAAGTTAAGTGTTATAATGTATTCGTGGTAGCGTTGGTTGTAAACATGTGTTATAATAACGAGTGATGAATACTTAACTAACTAATAAAGTTGATGTAATGGGATTTTTCTTTGTTTTTTTGATCGTGTTATCTAACGTTGGATGATAATAAGGAAAAAAGAACTTGACTAGACAAGACAAAATGTTAACCTTTGTGTTGTTTAATGCAAAATAAACCATTAAATCAAAATTCTATTTGATGTAAATAATAAACTACTTTCCCAGATCGAACCTTATATATATATATAAAATTATTCCTACACTAATTAGAAAACTCTCCATGTACACACCACTCGTTTAATTCTATCCTAAAAAAAATCACGCACATCTAACCAAATAGTAGTATATATATAATATGAATATGAGAATGAATTGGAAAAACGACAAACTACCCTTAATACTGAATCCACCCCATTCGTTTGCTCTAAAGAACTATTTTCTCAAATAAATTATTTGCATTCTTGGCCCAGTAAAGAATAAAGAGCAAATGAAACCTTCTAAATTTTAAATATCCCCTAATCCTAAAGACAAAATTCGTTTTAAATTGAATTTTTGTTTGTTAAGTAATTTCTAATTGTTTGAAAATTGAAGTTAATTCATGCATCATTCGTCGTCTGCTTTATCAAGAATGGACGCGTCTGAAAATTTATTGTAAAAATATCGATTTATGTAGCATACAAATAAATCTGCACAAAATTAGGTTACATCAATTTGAAAGAAATGAATAAAGAAAATGAAAATATAACACCAACCACAACATTACCACTACACAATAAGAAAGAAGAGGAGGAGGAAGAAGAATCAAGACTAAATTCTGAGTTAATAAAAAAAGATATTGAAAAAGTATAATTATTATCATTACTATTCAATTGATTAACTTTTATTGTTATTTAATTAATTTATAATTATAATTTATAAATAGGGTATAATCACTGTTAATGAAGATGAATCAACAAAACAAAATTCCTTAGAGCCGGAACTTAGTAAACTTGATAAAATTCCAAAGGTGAGAACACACAAAAGGAGGAAATGATTTAGAGTTTTTTTTTTTGATTTTTTCTCAAATTATTAATTGTATTTCTTTCCAACTTTAATAGTTTGAACCATTGGTTAAACCAAATGTCAATGATTCAGGTTTTTCATTAATTGGATTTTGGAACTCTTCTAATCATTCAATGAATAAAAATGAAAAAGATCGTATGTTATATGTTTATAGCTATTATATTAGTTATATTTACGTTATAGTAATAATAATAATCTGATTGATGTATTTAGCATCTTTTAATTATGATTCTTTATACAATTTTTTCAACAATTATCAAACACACATAAGAAGATGCGTTGAAGAAATATGCGAAGATCAAGTAATCTAATATTCACTATCAAATATTAATATTATTATATTAGCATTAATATATATATATCATTAATATTTATTGTTTATTATTTAGAGAATTATAATGGATACAGTTAAGCACGTGGATGAATATTGTGCAAGAATTAGTCAATCAATGTTAAATGCTCAATTACAAACAAAGATAAATCAAGAACAAATTAATGTTGGCAAGTGAAAATTGTTATCAAAATAATAATAATTTTTAAAAAAATAAATAATATTTAATTAATAATATAAAATATTTCTCTTTCTCTCCAATCTATAAAAAAAGTTAATGGAATTACAAAACAAGTGGAGAGATCTCATAAATTAATATTTGATCTATTTTCTACTTTAAATAAATTTGACGCATTGCTATCAGCAAATGATCAATTATCATCTTTATCTTTATCATCATCATCATCATCGTCATCATCAAATAATACCAATATTGGTATTAGTGGCGCAAACACTAACACCAACAATTCCGAGAATAATAATCAATCAATCAGTCAAAGGTGGCCAACACTTCATAAATTATTTATAAAACAACAAAAACTCTTACAGCAACCCAATAATCATCTTAAACCATTTCAATTTGAGACAAAAAGGGTTTCTTTACATCAACCAAAAGCCTATACCAATGTAGTAGCAGTAGTATCGTTTGATAATGTCTTGTCTGATAAACATCAAGACCTTGATGATATATTAAAATCTACAAATCAGTCTACTGATAAATCTACCAATAAATCTACCGATAAATCAAATACTCCTACTTCTACCATTGCTTCGCCTTCAATTTCAACAACCTCAATAGAAAGCGTTGTTTCAGATAGATTAAAAGAATTTGTTTTGAGTAATAATAACACATCATAATGTAATAAAATTTATTGCTTTATTATTTTTGGAATTAAATTTAAAAATAATTATTCCACGCCCATGGCAAATTTCATTATTTCTGCCTAAAATAATAATAATTGTTTAATTATTATTCAAAAAATATATTTGCTAAAAAAAGCTATTATTAAATTAAACAAACCTTTAAATGTTCTAATCCATTTAAAGATTCTAAACCTATTGATCTTGCCCATACTATAGGTGTAAAATCTGTACTAAATAATTTGTGCAATTTATCAACTGCACCAATCATCAAAAGATTTGATAGATATCTTTCTGATGAATAATCTTGGAGTAATTGAAGACTTCCTATATAATAAATGTATTTAATTATTGGTTTATTTTTTTGAGAATAAAAAGAAAATTTTATTTCTAATACCTATATCCTGACCGCTCATTACTCCTTGTTTAATCACTTTAAACAAACTTTCAACATCCGCTAATCCTTGATTTAGTCCTTGTCCAGCAAGTGGATGTATTGTATGTGCTGCATCACTAATATTTACATATATACAAATGTATATTAATATAAAAATTTCTTTTGGGATGTGGGAAAAAATCCCGTTAAATTTACTCTATCTACCCAATAAGCACAATTCTTTCTTTAACATAATTTTCGGAATTTCTCATTCTTAATGGAAATCTTGCGCAACTTTTTTCTTGGATATCTATAACCATAGGTGGCCATCCATCAGTAGTATTTATTGAATCCCGTTCAACGCCAAGTCTCCATGAGAACTCACTTGCATAGTCCATTTTTACATCATCATCATCCTTTTTAATTTGTGAATAAAAATAATCTAAATCTGCAACTCGTAATCGAAATGCCGAATTTATCAAATGTACCAAATCACTAGATGGCAATGAACAAAATTTACTTGCAAGTGATGGTGTTGTTGACCAAACCATAGAAGAAAATCCTTTTTTAATCTTTTAGTAATTCAATTAATAATAATAATAATAATAATAATAATAATAATAATAATAACAACAACATTGTTAATGTTATATATAATAAGGAAAGATGGAATAAATGATCAATGAAATAATTAATATTAAAAATTACTCATTACTGGTAACATTGCGATTGGTCCTGTAGGTAGAAATCTTTGCCATGCAGTAGAATTGTCCACTTGAGAATCTATATGTAAAGTAGCAACAACAGCATTTGAATTATAATCCCATCCTATTGATTCTATATTAGCAAAAGAGCGTACAATAGAATTTATTCCATCAGCTCCAACCTAATTTTTTGGGAAGAGGGAAGATTATTATTTATTATTTATTGTATTTTTAAATAATCATCAATACAAACATTTTAAACGTAAGGATGGGCGTGAGAAGGAATATTTATTTACCAATAATCTAGCCTTCAATATTTTACCATCATTTAATTTAATATTTGGCCAATCATGTAAATCGTAGGGAGCGTATTCGTTATTATCTTTATCATTATTATCATCAAAATAAATATCTTCTACTTTAGTTTTTTCAAATAATTTGAAATTGCCTGATTTGCATTGATCAAGTCTAGTGAGTATAGCATTTTGTATGTTATAATTTTCTATAATCCATGCCATAATTCCATCATCATCATCATCATCATCATTAATATTATCATAAGATGCTTTGCTCCCACTTCCACTACTAATGAAACTATCAATAATACTTCTAATTCCATCCCTTTTATTAGAATCAAATTTAATTCTTGCACCAGAAATACCATCCCATACTTGCATTTGTTTAAATCCTTTGATCCTCTTCTTATCAACATGATCCCATACACCAATATCTACGGAAATAATAACAATGAAATAACATGCAATAGTTGAATAATTTCATTTTATTTGCATTTATATTATATATATATATATATGATTTTATTGAATCCAAAAATTTACCTTTAAAAAACTTGACAGATTTTGGTGTTAAGGAACTGACACGATTTGAAAACAAATTATCTTGTGCATTCCATGATTTTATAACGGATGATGATAATTCATTAGATTCAATATGCGCAATTCTATGTGATTTAGTTGCTACAACACAAATTTGTTTATATGTTTAGAGTAATTAATCTTAAAATATAAATACACGTAACATTTTACACATACCTAAAGCACAAGCTAAGGCATTACCAACTATTCCACCTCCAACAATAACAATATCATAAATATTTTCAAATTTATTTTTATCGATTTCTTCGTTATTTGACAAGTGATAAAATCTTTTATTACTATAACTGTAAATGGGTTTAATGGATTTTGGAAATAAGTTTGGTTTCTGAAAAATGTTAAATAATCTTTTTTTTATCATTTTTTTTTTTTAATCAGGAATGATCATCGATGTTTTAAAAAGATAATAACGGTCATTCACACTTATTTTGAAAAAAAACATTACCCTGTACATAATAAAATAATTTGTATCAAATTGAGACTGGTTTGTTGATTTTATGGCCATGGCAGGAAAACAAAGAAATATTGATAGAATGTATTAGAAAACGAGTTGTCGGGGAAACGTCTTGTTGGTGTCGGTGAAATGTCTGTCGAAGGAAACAATTTATAAACTTCAAATTAAAGATACACGTTATTGAATTATCATTAAATAAAAATATGGAATGCTTTTTTATTTTGATATTAACTAAGGTAAAAACCTAATTGTTACTAAAAAAAGGCTCCATATTCTTGAATTTTATGCATTTCTATTTAACTAGTCAAATAACTGATCTTATAAACAAACGTAAATATATATGAACCAAGTCAAATCCAAGTAAGTATACTAAATATCTCTGACAACTTTTTAATATTTGTAGCTCTTAATCTAATAGATTTTGTTTTTTGATTTTAAAGTAGAATCGAATTTAATAAATAAAACATTAATGGTTTACGAAGATACGAAGCTCAAAATTATAAAGAATATAATAGTCCGCCTGTAAGTATATCATCGTCAGAAGCTCCTAAATTTTTAGTTGGGCAATTTAAACAAGAAACCATATTTAGTTTTTTGAATTATTACTATTGCAAAAATAATAAAAGTGGAAGAGAATGGAAGAAATTTGTTCTAGTTTGTCATGAAGCTGTATTTGTTCAAATATTTAGAAATTGTATAACAAGCGTTGATAGGTGGTATAGACGTGATTTTAAAGAAGTGAAAACTCAAATGAATGTTTTTAAATATTATGAAAATAATGAAGCTATTTTCTTAGATATATGTACACGATCAGAAGGTGGAGAAGACATAGAAGGAAATAAAAATTGATGGTAGACAATAGGCAATAAGTTATGTATAAATAGGAGCATCTTAGATTTAAGTACGGTAATAATTTATAATATTTTTTTTCTAACAATAATTTTACATTCAATTATACTAATTATACTTGATAAATTATTACTATGAAATAAAATACTAATACATATACAATTCTTGCCGGATCGCAATTAGAGTCTTCCCCATAGTAAGAACTGACAAAGTATACCTCGCGTCACAAACTATATGACTTGTATCATGAATTATGCTTTGAGTCACGAATTATGCCTCGCGTCAGGAATTATTGCTTCAGAAGATCCTAGCTTTCGTATGATTATTACTTGGGACATTGGTTAATAATATTATATGTCCAATCTTCTTTATTTACCATTCAACAAAAAGCCTTAGTGGTTTGAAGTTTACTATTAAAAATGAGATTTGGCATAGAATTGTCTTTTCTATTTGAGAAAAGATCACTTAGTCACGTGAACAAAACAAAAATTATACTTTGAGCTTATCAGCCACGAGACATGCGCAGAGAATTTTTTTTTATACACACACACTCCTAATCCTAAAAAAGTATCGACTTACTTGATCCACAAAAATAATGGGGTAAACGGTAATACAAATAATGATGTTATTAAATAAATTTTTTGTTAAACAAATAAATAATTAGAATTTGTATTACGAATCAATAATTATTACATTAATACATTAAAATTTAATAATTATTATTATTCATTTCTTCGAGTTTTTCGTTTTATTCGTTTTATCCGAACCCGAATTATTCGTACTATTCGTATCATTCGTATCATTTGTTTATTATAATTATTCGATTATTCTAATTCGAATTATTCGTATCATTCGTATCATTCGTATCATTCGTATTATTATTATTAGTTTATTCTAATTATTCGATTATTCTAATTCGAATTATTCGTACTATTCATATCATTCGTGTCATTGGTATCATTCGTTTATTCTAATTATTCGATTATTCTAATTCGAATTATTCGCACTATTCGTGCCATTCGTATCATTCGTTTATTCGTTTATTCAAATTCGAATTATTCATACTATTGTACTATTCGTTCCATTCGTGTCATCCGTAGAATTCGTTTTATTCGTTTATTCAAATGCTCAATGAATAAATCAAACCTTATTTCGAATAGAAACACCAATGAATACCATTTGTGTTTTTTGATTTGACACTCGGCACAGCATTTAATGGTGTGCGCCTTTTTTAATATTTTCCTTTTTGTTATTATTAAATTTTAAAACATATTTTTCATCAATTAATTGTCGTCATTGTTGTAATTGTTTATTTATACAAAAAATTTTTACATGAAATAAATAAATTTAATATTATACACAAACACCCGTTAATCCCGATGCAATCTTTTACTTGCAGAATTAACTTTCCTTTTTTGAATTTTGCATATCGCTCTAAGCCGATTATTTCAACATTTTCATTTTATTAGAGTCAATTATCAATATTTTCAAACCTGGTCTTCCCTTGTGTTTTATTTCATATCCTGAGCTAGTGTGTATATCTGCAACTGTGATTGAGCCTTGATATGTCCATGCAAGCAATATCGCCATAATAATTATGTTGCTTGTGTCAAATAAATAGCATCACTTTGTTCGACCGCTGGCAAGGAAGGTCAAAGTGGATACTTGTCATAATGATCATCCCATATAGTTTGTGCCAATTTCTTTCTAGCTTTTTCTAATCTTACTTCGTCGTTAATACTAGTAAGATACATGTAAAATTTTTTCCTATACCTCGACCAAATTCTATAATTATCATCGTCAGAATGACAAACTGAGAGCCTTTGACTCAATTTGTGTATTACTAAAGCTCCTTTCTCTTTAAAAATGAGAACCGTGCTTTCTGCATTATAGGTAATCAATCCTCTAATTTTCAGCACTTATTTTTTATTTCAAATACTATTTCTGATGAACGAACGAGTTCCGTTGGATTGTCATTCATTTTTAAAATTTTATTTCTTAAAAATTGCTATGTTATATTAAGAGAGAAAATATGATACTTGGAACAATAAAAAAGATTCTAATTCATTTATACTTAATTTTTGTTAGTATTATTTGTATTATTTTGCTATTTGGATTACTTTTCAATCAAAACATCATCTTTTCCCTGCCTGTCGTTCAAAAAATATTCATTATCATTATCATTATAAAAATTTTTTACGATTAATTAACTTTTATTTTCTATGCTGTTAACTCACTATCTCTATTACTACTATTCTAAAAAAAATAAACAGATAAGGACCATTGAAAACCAAAAAAACACATGTTTTGGATTATAAAAGAATTTAACGAACTACTGATATTTTATTAATTTGAGTATTTTGTATTCATTCATCATTACAAATTCAATTCAAACTGATTCTTATAAATTAAAATTAAAATACCTTTGTAAAAGTATTTGCTTCTTTGTTGTAGATTTTCTTCTATGTAGATATTTTAACAGGTGTTAAATTCTAAATTTATCAGTAGTATAAAATTTCGAATTAAAATTTTATTTTTATAATAAATTCAAAATTTATTATTAAAGCAAAGTGAAATTACGCCGTTCAAGATAGTGTTTTTCTATCTCTAACCCTTTATTCGAATATACGTGATACTTTCGAATACTTGTAGGGCTGTCTTGGTCCGGTCTCAGTCCCAAAGATCGGTTTTTAGATGTGATCTTTGGACCTGGTTAAATATTGTTTAAAGGCTAACTTAATAGCGTTTTGATACAAATTACATATTGCGAATATAACTTTCGATTATTTTACATTTTATGGTCGAGTTCGAGCTAACTTTTTAGCTACATTCGTTGATTAATTGCAGGATTTTTATGTGTAAATTAATTTATTTTACAAATTCATCCTGCCTGTTGCTTCTTTCTTGTACCTAGAAGGCTTTAACGAAGCTGTATGCACACTTTATGATACAATCGACAACTAAATTATTAATAATATAAATAATAACAATACGTAATAAAAATGATAAAATATAAATAAATAAAATACAAATATAAAATATTAATAATAAAGATTCAAATGTAAAACGAAAAGGACATGTCCAACACAACATTTTGTTTTATTTGTCACAAATATTTATTATTTATTATTTTTTTTTTTTTTTTTTTTGTGACCAGAAATTGTGTGTGAAATTAAAATCTATTATCATTACCCTAATCAAGATTTTGAGTTTGGCTAAACGAATTTTCATTTTCACGTACAACATTTACATTAATTATTTATTAGATTTTATAATTCAAAATTTCCTTATTAAAAAGAACAGCTGGATCATGGTTCAAAGGACCGGTCTTTTAAATATCCGTAATATTCGTAAGGAATCGTGACACTTTTGCTTATAACATTGATATACTCTTTTATTCTTTTTATTAAATACATAAATTTTAAAACATTATATTTGATAATCTTATTCAAATATATTTATATATTTTAAAAGCAATAACTTTTCGTTTTAATTTGTTACGCTTTGGTGTAATGTGGTTACTAGATTAACCGTTATGCAAGAACGGATTTTGCGGATGTTTTTGCTAATAGAGAAATTTTTCCTTGTTTTCTTTCCACCATGTTAGTGGATCAAGATCTTTTTGATATTGTATCTTTTTAGTCATCATTATCGTCGTCATCAATTGTCCTTCTGATTCTAACTGTCGAAATGAAATAAACATTAATTTATAAAATAATCCAAGATATTTAAGAATCATGTGCTTTTTGTTGTTTCTTGGCTGGAAGTATATTGTGTAATTTTAATAAATGGTTTGTTGAATTATTAGCGTTTGATACATTAATCCTTTACCACATAAATTATCCAGACGTTCCAGAGAAACAGGTACTTTATTTGAAAGATCCTTCTTCAATAAAATGATCTCAAATATAGCTTTCTCTATATGAGTCTTCCATGTTTCGTCAAAGTTTTGTATTTTTTTATTATTTAGTGGTCTACATAACCTATCATTGATAATGGACTCTGACGAAAAATTAGAATTTGTTTTTTCTTTATCGTTAATTAAAATAATTAATTTAAGTATTACAGGTATTACTATATTCGAAAGTCCGATAGTATTAATATTAATAGCATAATATTAATTAATATTAAGACATTCGAAATTCGAATATTCGAATATACAGAAATCATTTGACGCCATGTGCTTATTAGGATTCCTGATATTCAAATAATTAATTATTATAATATGGAAATTCCATTATCCGTCAAATCAAGGTAGAACAATTATTATTATTATTATGAATAATTATAATAGTTTCATCCGTTTAACCCGCTAAATAAAGATTATCATTTTTATCATTTTGATGCAATATCGATCGTACACAAGCAAGCTCGATATTGAAGTATACCTGTGTAATTAAAATTCACACACATTTTTATGTGACATCATTGATGTGATAACTAATACTAATAATTGCATGACAAGTAAAAGTTGTTCTACATAATCAATTGACTTGATTTATGCATGATTTATCACATACAATAAATAATATTGTTCAAAACACGATGCATTTTTATTGTTTTATGTAATCTTCAACAAATAAATACACATTGCACGACAAACAGACTCACCTACTTGACTTTTTTAAATTGATGGTACACAAATAGTTGGTTACTTTAAAATCCGTCGTGAATTTATTTTCTTTGAGCTATATTTTTTTTTCTTTTATAGTAAAAAATTGCGAATATGTCTTTAGATTAGAGGTTACATTCGGATATTAATTTCACATTTTAAATACTGTATTGTGCTTGTAGTCCTAAACGGTTTCGAAAGAGAAGACCAGTCCAAATATAAATCTGTACTCTAAACTTAAACCTAAGAGTTTCGAGTCACAGAATTGTATCCCTCTTCTAATCTTCGTGTTTTCAATGACAAAGCCGAAAATACAAAAATACAAAAATATATTTCAACCAATATTTAAAAGTTCGACAAATTACAATTGGTTATTATTTGTATCCGAAATAAAATTAATTTTTCGACAGTAGAACAACAAACTTAATTTAGTATGTAAGGCATTTTTTTGATTTTTTTAAAATTTTATTTTTTATATCAGATTGGAGGATATGAAAATTATTTGACGATTGAAAATAGTAATTACAATAGTTGGCAAACATATGGATATCCGAAAGAATAAAAAAAAACACCTATTATAATAATATAATTTATTTAATTTTATTATAGTAATAATAATAATAACATTAGAACCTTCCATTTATATTATATACCTGCATCTGTGGAAAAAAAAATATGTTGTCATATTATTTTATTAATTAAACGAATAATAAAGCTGAAAAGCTATTTAGTAACTATTCAACATCTAATTTTGGAAGCTATTTAATAAAGCGTGTTTCTGATATGCAGGAAAATCTCAGAGATCGTCGATCATTACAGTATTTAGCAAAGAAAGAAAGGGCTTTTTTGATTGTACAGTTAGTTACAATCATATAGAGTAAGTATTACGATCATCAGTAGTCCAATCAGAATGCATGTTAAGTTGCTAATCGTGATTATCCTATATATATAAGCTGTAACACAAATGTCGATCATATATATATTTATTGTTTTTTTTTTTTACAAGATTATTTTTCGGATTTCTGGGCCCATAAAATCAAAGCGTCTTCAACATTAGCAACAGGAGAAGTATTTGCTTTTTTAATAAGAATTTCAAGCCATCTATTATAACTCTCAATATATCACTAACTTGACTTGTGCGAATTCAATAAATATTCTTTGGTTGAGGTTTAATTCGCGTTTTTCTTCAGCAGTAATATACACACGTTTTTTGGAAGAAGTTGTTGAGACATTTTATAATTTTGTAGAATTTAAAGACACTATTGATTGTGTAATATTAGAAGATATTCATTTTATAAAGGAAAATTCACCTTTATTTATTCATTTAGAAGAGATTGAATGAATAATCTTTAATTAAAAACGATGGTCAGTTATAAATAATTTATTATTAGTGGATTATAGAAATCTGAATTAATCAAGTAATGTGTATTGAAAATTTTTTTTTTAAAGTTTGGGAAATTATAAGCCTGTATTAGTTAGTATCATTCATTATATTAATATTAATATTAACATCATGCGAATCCTGTTGAAACGAGAATTTTTTAATATTAAAAATTCAGATGGGTGGTCACAAAAAGTTGCGACACAATGAATGAAATCGAAAAATAGATTCACTCATGTTTTCCTTCCAAAATATCTGGGACGTCCAAAAAATCCATTGGGAGGGCGTACATTTGACTAACACTAAACTAATTTAGTAAGGTATCTAAATTAGGGTTACGCACTCAGCCCTGGTAAAACGACAATGTAATAAAAACATGCATCAATTATCTAATCACGCCATCTAACGGGAATTTTTTTCTAATCGCACACGATTCGGGGGAATCGATTTTTAATACATTAGGGTAACCTGCTTTCGAACCTGATACTGGTTTTGAATTTCTAATATCATCTAGCAAAATTTTACACATATGTTTTCAATTTTAGATGGTATTACAGTAATTCTTTCATTAAATGTTTTAAGAAATATAGTTTATGCAAGCGGAATTTACTGACAAATTTATTTGTTTATTTTTATCAAAAAAAAAAATAAGAAATAATAATGCATAATATTAATTACCTGAAAGTAATTGTCACCACAAACAAAACTTAAACCAATCAATTGAAAATGATAAGGGAACAGAACTAAAATTAAAAAATTACGGAGCAAACAAATAAAAATGATAGATAAATACCTCCTGTTTTTTACTTTGTCTCCATTTTCATTTAACGGATTTTTGATCTAATAAAGTAAATTTTTTTACTTTTCAATATTTTAAATAAACAATCAATAACATCATTGTCTTATCCTCTTCTTCTTCCTCCTCCTCCTCCTTCCTCTTCTTCATTTCTTATTAATTAGCTATAGAAAATGTCGGATCCAATATCAA